AGAACATGAATAGGAAACTGCTTCTTCATTTATTGTTGATGTGGTTTCAGGGGGTTCTGGGTACTGCATGTTTCTTTGGAATCTGTTGATAGTAACTGCCCACATTTCTCCTGATAGAATTAATGGCAAAAGAAAATCCTTTCCCACACAAGCACAATCATTTTTTGGAAATACGAAGGTAAAGTTTATTTGAGTTCAGTAGCTATTGTTATTAAAATCTTTGGGTCAGTTTGGAAGCAATTACATCATAATTTTAGGTCAAACAACTTTTTGTTGAACTTTTTTTAAGCCTAATTGGATGCATATGGAGTAGAAATACCCATTGTGAAAAGGCTTTGATTCATTGGCAAGTTATAAAATACTTGCTGGTAAATTAAGCCAAAGTTCCTGGATTTCATAGTGCTGCAAATTATTCTTTACAGAACTGAAAGAACAAATTTAATGTTTTGGTTTTTCTTGTTTATCTGAATGTTGTTCAACGCTTGGAAATGTTTTCATAGGGATTGCAAAAATAATTATGGGATGAACGAATTATGTTAGTATTGATTTCTTCATACCATCTCATTTACTCCACCCGTCGGGAACTGCCATTTCAGCATTATGACTATGAAGATGGATGGCCTAGCTTTCTAACTTAGAAGGCTTGGAATTTGTTAGTTGTGCTGGTTTGATGGCCCCTTTTTCTCCTGTTCCAGGCTATTGTCCCTTGATCGATGTGCCTGTGTCATGTAGATCAAGAATAGACATCTTTTTCTCTATGAAGGCTACCTTGTCCCCTCCCTCCATCATACCCAACCTCATTCCAGTATTCTCTACCTCACCAAGATTGTTGGAAAGAAGAAGCAAGCAAATTTTTATCACTTGGCTATTTTGATGCATTTGAAATTGCAGGTGAAGGAAGATTGAAAGCTCTCCCACCCCTCAATTCCATTCCTTCCTTGCCCTCTTCCTCCCTGCTATTCTTACAGTTGTTAACCTTCAATTTTCATTCAAGTTTTTCTTTCTGCAAAGCATGGTGACCATATTGTCCTCTTGTGTATAAGAAGATTTAGTTCCCCCGGCTTCTTCAGAGGCAGAACTGACAGTAGCTGCAACAAGTGCAAAGGGGAAATAGATAGGACCGTGTTGTAATGGATTTTCCCCCAAAGCACTGAGTAAAAAAAAAAACATATGTTGCCCTATCCCCACTCTCCTGTTGTAGATTGTATCTTCTGGAGCTTCATTTAGTGAGGGTGAAGTATTTTAAGCTATATTGATTCCACAACATCTGTAGTTTGTTTCTAAATGTGCCAGTATAATATATTTCTCCCTCTCCCTGGTATGTTACTACTAATTCTCAAAACTTTTTTTTTCTAGCTGCATTAATGTTAGTGTGTGTTTCTTTTCCATTTTTAACTTCTTATTGTCCCAAGGGACCTCATAAATATTGCTTCCTCCTACAAAGCTGCTGACATGTAGCAAAAATTTCTAATTCATTATTCATGTGATGCTCATTTTCTATGTTTAGGAATTAATGCATCTTCAATGGAGATTTTTTTTTCCATGGCTGCAGTATGAAAAGAAAAAAGCAGGCAAAGCAAACACTACATGCAGAGTTATGTGGCAAGTGCTAGAATGCTAATCAACAAAGAAAATAGTAGGCATAAATATTTGCTATACTTACAGAGGAATTTAATTTTATGGGGAGAGGAAATGTATAGTAGTATTTTTTATTAATGCACTGTATTTTATATTGTTTCATATACAAAAACATCTCAAAGTGATTTACAAAATAAACATACCAATAAAAAATGGTAATTAAAAATAATATTAAAAAAAGCCTGTTTACTTTAAAAACAACAGTGGAGGAAGGAAAGAAAATAAACATTCACAGAGAGACAGTCTGGGTGAAGAGGTAGCTTTTCAACAGATGAAATAATATGCGCCTCACTAATATCAGGGGAGAGAGCAACCATCTTATGGCCATCTGTAGCCCTAGCCACTGTTTCTCAGCCTTGGGAAGTGGAAGATGTGAGGACTTCCATTCGCTGGGGAATTGTGAGAGTTGAAGTCCACATAACTTCAACTTGTCAAGATTGAGTAACACTGGCTAGGTAGATACCATATACTACTACAGTAGGTAAATGCCAACCTTGAACTGAATATCAAATGAACTATATTGAAAACTAATTTTGAATGTTCCGTAATTCAATACTTTACTTTTTAAAAATGGTAGGGAGACTAAGAGGAATGAAATAGAATTAACTAACCAACCATACCATGATTTCCAAAGAAGAGATCTTGTCTAAACAGCTTCTTCTGCAATACACATTGAGAATATATTTTCAAAAATCCATTATAGCTTTAGATTCAGAATTAAAACAGGATCAGTGTAAAAAGTGCACTGCAGCAATATTTAAAAGGATCCAAGCTAAGTTGTAGTATTAACTAGTAGTTGTATGCAAAGTAGATCTCTGTGTGAGATCTTATTTCTAGTGGAAGTTCTTTCCTCCAGTGCAGGTTTCAATTAGGGTATTCAATTAATTAATAATTTAAGAAATTAAAATGCATAAATACTCCAGGTGCAATGACTTTTTCCAAGGGCTTGATTTGCATGGAAAAAAACAATTCTAACAGTCTAATAAAACAGTCTAATATCAGAGATTTATGTCAAACTCATGAAGTCATTTTCATTTCTGCGAGTACTACTTTGTGCTCGATGTAAAGGGGTTGCTGAATTTTATTTTATGTAACAAGAGTGCCTTTGGAACAAAATTAAACGTCAAGCATGTTCTTCTTTCCTTCACACAGCTTTGTCTCTGCTGTTAACCTTTACCTTAAGAAATAGCTTTCGAAAACAAGATACATTCAGTGGCTTGAATGACATCCTTTGCTGTATATTTTGTGACTGCCAAGGACTTCATTATTTCTCCTCTAGTTAGCCAGATGAAAAACAAAGCTGGGAGTTTGAACATTATCTTCCTCTGAAATCTTGCCATTCTGTACATGTTCCAGTGGAAGAAAATTGTTCTGAAAGCATTATTTCTTTATTTTTTCCTTCATATTCAGAAACCCTTCGTAAAAGCTCTCAGGTGGCTTTGGTTAAGCTGTTCCTCTTTGTTCTGCCAAAAAAAATGTATTTCCTCAGTTTGTTCTTTCAGTAAAGGCACAGATTTACATCTCCCTCCCTCCACTAGCAAACAAAAAGCTTCAGATTAACAATTTAGGGCAAAAGGTATATGTTGTTGCAAAGACAGGTGCCAATTTAATTTGTCATAGAATAAATCCTCAGTTTTCTAGGCAGGCATTCAGCAGATTTTGAACAAAGCAGATAATTTTTTTATTTTGAATGGATCAGATGTTTTTCTTCTTACCTTAGCAGTCTGGACCACTGGTGCAAGTTATGTCATTCATCTCCATTTATTTCATTTTGAATAAATTACATGATTAATGTTTTGATGTTGTTTGCCTCATTTATATAATTAAATAGGAGATAAATGAACGAAAACCTTAATTGGGTAATCAAATGAACGACATAAATTATGTCAGTGATGTAAATTCAGATTTAACGGACACTCAGTTTTAACAGATATTCTTTTCCCCAAAAGTTCCATTAAATTTAGCTTTTACTGAAATGAGGCAGAAATATATCTAAGTGATAATAGTTCAGTGCCATTCTCTGCACTAAAGTCTGTTTCAGTGAAAGTCTTGTCATGTTGAACACACTGAGTTCTCCTGACTTAGTACCAGTTTTGGAACTTTAAAACACTTTCTCTACCTCATTTGGGGAAAATTCAGGCTTTAAAAGTCAAATTGCAATTAAGTGGCTTCATCAAGTGGTTTCAGCTTCCTAAGACAAGAAATGTTGCTCTAATGAAATAGTAAATAAGCTCGAAATACCCATATGTTTTTCTCTTCAGCCCTCATAACTAGTTCTCAAGGTTTCTGTAAGGTTTAGTAAAACATCTAGAACATCTTGAGGGCACTGGGTTATCTAACTCTAAGTGTTGATGTGAACCATCTCCCTTATTTTCCCCTAAGATTGCAATGGAGTTAAGCAGCTTTTAATTATGTCACTGAAGAAGTGGGTGGAGAAAGGAAACCCTTCCAAGCAGAACAAGTCAAGGCCTGTGAAAATGCCAGCATTAACTACATGAACAGTTTAGTTTTACCTTTTAGGAGCCATCGGGAGGGTCCTAGATCCAAAGGGGAGAAGGCTATTTAAAGCACACGTGGACATAAATTAGGCCAGTTGGCATCTCCTGAAACGTTCTGTAATGAATTGCCAGCAGATGTGATGTGTGCATCCAAGCACGCAACAAGTAACCTTTTCTTCCTGAATCAGAATCATTTCACAGACGTATTGCCTACATTCCCACTGTGGCATTATGTTCTCCAGTATGGCATGGACATAACTTTAATACAATTATGTGATGTTAGCAATGTAAGCATCCATAGGGGAAGCAAAGGGGGCAAATAAGGAAATTTGAGTCATGATGTAAAGTCCATCACTAATACACTTGTGTCCAGTATCAAGCAAGTACACAAATTACAGGGGTTATGTTATAGCACATGTTTGGTCATTTTCATGTGGTAATATTTATAGATGCCCACAATCAGCAATTAAGACATTACACTGTTGCTTAATATGCAGTGCATACATTTATTTATATTATTTATAGGGTCTCCTATCTAATTGCATTGACTTTGGGCAGTGTATGAAGATTAAAGCCATCACCACAACATATAACTCAAGATGCCCTGGTTAAAACAGCAACCATTCCAAACCAAAAGCCACATGCATGTCTTCCGTGCCTTTTACTTTGCCAATTAAAACAATGTGAAAGAGTCCTGAGAGCTATTTAATACAAACTACTATTTATTTTTCATAGAAATGGAAAGACACAAAAAAATCTTCCTTTTTTTTTTGTATTCTCTCTTTTTTGTATTTTCTCCATCACACACAGAATCACATATATAAGCATGCAGCTCTACTGAAATCTGTTAGTACAGTAGTTCTAAACAACGGTTGGATGATGCACCTACTTTTTATAAGTACAAAAAGAACATTTAATTTCTCCTTTCTTCTTTTGATCTGTAACAATAGTGCCTGCTTGGTTGGTTTGCTTCTGTCATATGCCCTCCTTTTCTTCATTCTGAGACACACAGCTTGCCTGTCTCCCACAGATGGTAAGCAAGGAGGGCCAAAATTATTAAATGTATAATTAAATCTCAGTTAAACTCCTAATTAGTGCACATTTTTATAAGGATTGTAGCTTTCTTTCTAACACTAGATCCAAAAGCATAACCCTAGTTTAATTGGTGTTTTAGATTAGAATGTGCTTCCATTCCAGTAATGAAACTATAGTAGATAGTTGGCACTGGATTTGCTGCAGTTAGGCATTCTTTCAGGTTCTTCTGGGAATTTTTGACTGTTTTGTAAATATCATGAGAAGGGTTACTGTGTTACAGGAAAATGATTAACAAGAGTTGTATTTCTTATTTTGCTGAAAATATTCTGTTACAAACAACATACAGTTTCCCGCATAATCAAAATATCTGGGGACGTAGAAAATTAGATCTATCAATATAACTTTAGCCATGAATTTGTGGAAAGTAGAATTTTGGTATTCAGGTATTGAATAATGGTAATTCTGCAAAGGAAAATTTTCTGCAGCCAAAAGTGTCTGACTTACCTCTAAGCTGTCTCCATTGCTTAGTGCTAAGAATAGAACAATAAACAAAACAGTTAAATATGGTGCAGTTATATAAACCTGTAAAGCAATCTGAATATCAAATTAATTTTATTTATAACTTAATCACAAAATTAATAACAAAGGAGGGAAAAGATGGAAAAATAGCAGTAAAAATGACATATCATTTTCCCCATGATTTTTTTTTTTACAAATATGAGTACATATAATTTTAAATTTAGAAATAATCAAAATGAATAAAGAAATTTCTCTGCAGTATTGATTAGAAGTGGTACAGGACAGATGCAAGGTGTTATCTACTATACATAATTAGCATAAAATTTATTGCCGGGGGAAGTGATTCCTGTTATTATAAAAGACTTTATTTGGCCAATGAGAGAGACTATAAATAAGATTGATTTAATTGCATTAGATCAAAATTAACATTGCCTTATGGAGCAAATTAATTCTTATGTTCATTTCTCTAACATGGACCATATTGATCCAGAATAATTAAAATCCAGGAAGAATTTAATAATAACGGATGGAGGGTTAGTGTTGGCAATGACTAATCAGGAAATATATATATATACTAATTACCTTTGTTGCGATAGGTGTATATAGGCGTATATAGGTATATATATTGTATGTAGCACATTTGAAATATTCTAAAATATTCTACAAAACTCTTAAGTTTTGAAAGAAATTGCATAAAGTCATGGAATGTGCTGTGATAACATACAGTGATTAATGCTAATCTGAATTATTTTAATCCCCCTTTAAAAGATGGATCTATCAAAGTTATTAATCACCATAGTGACATAATCAATACAACAATATTTGTTTGGTATCAGTTATTGGGAAACAACAGCAGAAAGAACAATTAATGAAATTCTGTTTGCTGTACTTTAACTGATTGGCTACAGTAGATCCTTTGCTTTCTTTAAAAACTTCAATTGTTCCAGCAGGGTTCTTGTGTTTTAACATTTCCCCTCCTTTTGATTGTAATCTGGAAATTGAGATGTATTTCCTCATTCCATGTAGATCATAACAGAGATTAAAATCATCCTGCTAATTATTTGTATTCTACAAAGCAAATTCCTTCAGCTGAGTCCATGCTCTTAGGACTCTCTCAGTGCTGTGCCTGTCTGTCAAAGGACTGGATTGATGTCAATGACCTTCAGTAAACATTGCAAGAGTTACATACTGAAAGTTGACTGATGCAGATGCATGAAGTGTTGACAATATGTAAACAGTTTGAATAAGCTGTCCTTCTTTGTAGCGAGACTAGGCAAGCAGCCCTACATGCAAAACAATGGGAACAGAAAGATACCTTGAAATGAACTCGTTGCGAAGTGTTATGTTGCTTGCTCTGTCTAGCTCTGTGAAAAGAGAACAAATCTACATATCTAAATGCACATTCAGAATGTTCTTTGCAGTCAGTTGTAGATGCAGGCAGAATTACTGTGTCTGGTTCCAGAAGTGTTGCACAAAACTGCCAACTAATTTCATTTGGTTTAATCAATTATTTGGAGATTTGAAATCTGCTGCAGGAAAAATTGCCTCCCAAGATAGCCCATGAGATTCTTCTTACACAGAAGTAATTATACTGAAATTATATTTAAAAAGCTGGTTTCATTTATTATCTTTTTAGAGTGCCAAATGCAGATTGGGAAAAAAGCATGTCTTTAAAAGCAATGAGAGGAAATTGCAAGGGAAAAGAATTGCTGCCCAGAGAACTTTATTATCTAGTAAGACACATGATAAGCCAGTGAATGAGGCCTTCCCTTATCTCTCTGCAGGCTCATAGGTATAATCAGGCCTGCAGATAGGAGGTGTCAAGATTATTCAGGACTTTGTAAATGTACATAGGCCTTTAAAGATCAAAATCAGCACCTTGGATTGTATTCGGAAACAACTGGCCAACCAATGCAGTAGGCAAGCTAGTAAGGGCAATATATCCAGCCACTATTTGTGTATTGTAGCTATCCTTTCATATCATATCCAAAAAAGTGAAGGAATGCATTGGGGAGGTAAATTCAATATTTTGAGTAAATAGTTTGGTGATTCTGCTCAAAGCGGATTCGGTCACGTTGTTGAATCAGCTCAACTTTCAAATGAGAAAGTTGTGTTGAATGGTTAAAGGGGATCTAAATCAATTGGACATTTGAGAGTCTGGTGAAATATGTATGTATGTATGTATGTATGTATGTATGTATGTATGTATGTTTTCTTAAGACGAACACAATACAGAAGACTGATGATGGCAGGTGAGATTCTCCCGAAACATTGCTACAACTTTAAAAGCACAACTATAATCACGTGGGATGAAATTGATCAAGCTGTTGCTAAAATCCAGATCACAATTTATGGAAATAATTTTGGAGCATGGACTGCCTTTGCCACAGTCACAAGGAGCTACTTTTAGAGCAGCAGGCAGAATGCCAGCTGCTTCCCCCAATCTCTTCTCCCATATAGGGAAAGGTGGATGACTCAGTACAGAAACCTCCCTCTCCCCAGCCCCCCACTGGCTGGGGTCTGACTCTTCTGGAACACATTTTATTTCCACTCTTAATAAGCTTTAAAACCAAGCTATTAGAGTATTGTCTCTGTTTCTGACACTTTATTTTATGCATTTGTCTCCAATTGGCAATTAAGGCCTACATTTGCCAGGATGTATATATCCCTTAAAAAGCAAAGCATTTTTCCAGTTGAAGAGTTTTGATGATTTTTTTACACACACACACACACACACTGCATCCTTGTTGCTTTTGTTATTAGGTGGCATGGATGTAGTTCTGACTGCAGTGGGAGGGAGCACCTATTTGCTGAACAGTTCTTTTTTTAAAACAACATAGGATGCCCCTTCCCAGGCACTAGGAATAGCTTAATAATGTAATCTTAAGTATCCCTAAAGTTTTGTTAGTAATTGAGAAGGAACTCTGCTGGAACCCCAAGGTTGGTTGCCTAGGCAAGGGATCAGTATTGACCCCAAAGAACCAACAGTTGATTTCCTTAAGTATATAAGACATATCAACATTTTAATGCATTCTAAGTTATTGTTCAGTTTGAGCCGTATCTAAGGGTTAGCTATGTTGGCTATATTATTTTTTTCCTCTTCTATATCTTATAGAAAAAATTTATATGTAAATGTGCAAATCTTTAGAAGGTGGGCTTCAGCATTATAATAAAAATACCTTGGTCTAATCTCTGAAATTGCGTAACTATACTAGAAGTGAGCATCTGACACTTTGCCCATAAAGGAGCAGTCCTACAGCAGTGCAAGATTTTAATTTTGAGCACCCTTGGGCATTTATTTTGTTGGTTTGGATGCCATCTAGTGGCTGTGAGGTTACTTTAATGCACAAGGAGAACAAAGAGATAAGTCCGTCTTCATGAAGTGTTCCTTTGTCCTGCTTCTTGTTCTGTTTGTTACAGTGCTTTAATTCTGCTGCCTAGTTTGATGCTGTACTTGTAAGAGCTTATGATTTGGGAAAAACGTATGTGGCTGCGGAATCTCTTTTTGTACGTTAAGGGTTTTCCCCACTCTTTCCCCAAGAGGCAAAGTAATTTCTAAAAGTTTTCAAGAAATCCTTCATATGGAATATGAAATATTAAGTTCTAAATCCTGTAGTTATAGTAAGATGTGTTTATAAGAACACATTAGGACCTGCATTAAGTCCACTGATACATAAAAGATTCAATTTAGATGCCACAGTTACTGTATCAAAATATTGGAGAAACAAAGCACATTTTCTTTTGGATCAATGATATTACAAGGAAGGTAAGGGAAGATACTATTGGCTAAAAAAATTAACACAGCAGCATAGTCTTGCATAATTTAATTAAAGGTTTTATGCACAATTGCTCTTCACTTTTATTCTTTCAATTCATTTGGAATGCTGGAGGTCCTCGTACCCTGTTGATTCACAGGATAATTATCTGCAAAGTGAACAGAACAGGAAGATCTGGCAAGCAACACACTGAGACTTAATAATGGGCTGGATCTTTGAAAATTGTGGAGAAAAACATTCCATAAAAAATCCTGGTGAATCCCAGTGATAGTTGGCTAGATGCTCAAAATGTTGCTGATTGTTCCATTCCAAGCCCACCTTCCTTCTGGTCATGTGCTCTGCAATAAAGCATAACCACTATCCCTGTGGTTTCCACTGTATATCAGAGATGCAACAGATTAGTATACTTGATCAGATAGAAGAGAATATAGATGCCTCCTGTGGCTAATTCTGATAAAAAGGTTGGAAAGAATCCCAGAAGCCATGATCTGCATTTTATCTCTCCTTTTTTTTTTTATTTAAAATTGTATTGATAGAGATCAGGGTTTTCATAAATATTTGAGTATGACATATTACAAGTTGTGTATGCTAATTATGGGACCATATGTTTTCTAGTAGCACACACTGTTGCTGTCTCTCTTAAGAATATAGGGCAATGTATACCAAAATCAGCTGAAGCTAAGGCTTCTGTGAGACACTTGTTCCATCTTCCAAAAGGGAGATTAACCAGAGGCTTTGTTTTAAATGCCTAGAAGCTGCTACTGCTTTTTCCTACTCTTCTCTAGGTTGCAAAAGTCATTCTTCAGACTATTGATTATGGTTTCTTTTGCTAATCTGAATTTCTTTGTACAAAAAGCTTGAGGGTTTTTTGTAGATTTTGGAGCAGTGAAGGTCTTTTTTATATCCATAATAATATAAGATTTCAGCATAATATATTTGGAATGCCCTCAATAATACTATTTTTCTGTCTCTCTTTCTCTTATAGAACCTACAGTGAGAACTTTTACTCCATTTTATTTCCTAGTAGAACCAGTGGACACTCTGTCAGTTAGAGCTTCTTCTGTTATACTGAACTGTTCAGCATATTGTGAATCACCTCCAAAAATCGAATGGAGAAAGGATGGGACTTTCTTGAACTTGGTATCAGATGACCGCCGGCAATTGCTACCAGATGGATCTTTGTTAATCAACAGCATTGTCCATTCCAAGCACAATAAACCCGATGAAGGTCATTACCAGTGTGTGGCAACCGTGGAGAGTCTTGGCACCATCGTAAGCAGGACAGCTAAGCTTACAGTTGCAGGTGAAAACCTTATTTGGATAGCTATTGCTTACATTTTCCAAGTCTGAGGTTAATGTTTCCGCAGAAATAAATACATATTGTGTATTGCAGGAGAAATAGGTTGAGAAGGCAGTCTCCAAAAAAGTAATATCTATTTTAAAAGGGGGCAGTCCTCAGAGACCACTTCTTACTTTGAAGCGTTACGGCAGTATTTATCAACCTTGGCAAGGTTATGTTGTGTGGACATGAACTCCCAGAATTCCCCAGCCAGCATGGAGAATGGCTGACTGGGGAATTCTGGGAGTTGAAGTCAACATATCTAGTTGCCATGGTTGAGAAACACTGCTTTAGAGGGTTAACTTTAGGGCAAGTGTTAGTGATAATCTTAGATTTATAGTAAATTGTGTGTGTGGGGGAGTGCCTCCTAGTCTTAAAATCAAGTCCAATTACATGGTGTCTCAACTTACAACCACTACAACTTATTGGCAAAATTGTGGGCTCGCTTGTAGTCATAAATCGAGGATTAGGTCTGGTTTGCATTATATATCACTTTGCTTTATTCATATTCAGGTTAGTTACAAATACACATTAAATAGCTAAATAACCTAATATGTGATTCCTGATTCCACCTTCCTCCCCACTCTATGGAGGTCACTTCCTGATTATTATTATTTTTAATATTAAAGTGAAATAGAGAACAATGAAAGGTTGGGTGGGCATTGCCTCAGACTTTTCCACATGAAGCAGCTATAGTGTTTTTCCTCCTCGGGGGTTTTTTCCTGCCTGCTATCATTACAGAATGCCTTGTGTTTGAGTGTACTTCACAGCCCTTTCCCAACCACTGGTAAAATAATACTTAGTTACTGACAAGATGGAATTATGGTCTCCAGTCCTTCTGATAGCCAAGATTCTCATTTAATTTGGGAGATGATCTGCCTCATAAGATCATTGTTACTGCACTTTGATTTGTTGAGGCTGTCAGGAAAGTCAAGAGCCTGCTTTTCTTTAGTAGAGAGTGAAAGTAATGAACCTTCATTTTACTACTTTCCTCATTACTTTGTGGGCTTTGATATCTTCCAGTCAAACAAACATTTCTCAGTCAAATAATTTGGGAGTTTTAGAAGCTGCTAATTTATCAGCTTCAGGTTAAACAGTCAGAATATGTTTTAATTGAATCTATTGCTTCTCAGCAAATTTGTGCAGCCAAAATTATTTTTATAGTACATTAAACATCTTGAAAGAGTGATTAACCATGGACTGGTTTAAGGCATTAAAATTTTTCCATCTAGGTGAATTGTTACTTTGATCGCCATTGGCCATTATATTGTTTGATTTCTCATGATTTAGAACAGAGTATAGCGTTAGTATAGTTGGTTTCACAATCTGCCAGATGTTTAGACTAGATTTGACATTTTTATCCACCTATCAAATCCTTTCCAGCAACCTGGGATAGGTAGATGTTGTTGAGATGTTATTGGGTGGTGTTAAAGGTCTCATCACAAGATGTAAGCTGTTGCAAGATAAAGCTGCTTTTTCCTGTTGATTGATGGTAATTTTATCAATGCTGATGGGGCTCCAGATGTTTTGGGATTTGCATCCAAGGTGCTCATGACTATTGATACTACCTTTGCTTTCTTTTGCCACAGTCTTCCTACCTCAGGTCGTTGTATTTTGTGATTTTCTTTTCTATTCTGTGCCTCCAGGTACTGTCAGATTTCTTTCTTTCTTTCTTTCTTTCTTTCTTTCTTTCTTTCTTTCTTT